AAATTAATGGAGTGACTGCCCTCCAGAAAGGGGCATTTTGCCATGCATCTCCAAAGAACGAGCATACTGTACAGTTTTGTAAGGCATATTCAAAGTATTTCTCTATTAGAAAAACAGAGCAGTTGTGTTTGCCCAAATCCTGAGTTCTTTAAGTAAATATTTCTGAAACCAGTAAATATTTAAGTTTTGGAAGGGTCTTGAGGTAGGAATTGTAGGAGGCACTGAAAGTAGGGTGTGTTGCCCCATCAGGTACTGAGGAAGCTGGCAGCCAGAAAGCAGGCCTTTTGGCTCCATTGGAGCACTGCGGCAAAAGACAGCAGCAGACTTCTTTAGCAACATCGCATTTGCCTGCAAAGTTGTTTGTCCCCAGGAGGCAACTGAAGTCAAAACAGCATCAGCAACAGCAGGAGAATAGGGTGGGCAGAGCCTGGCCCTCTTGGCACGGTCAGACGTACTTTGGAACATCAACTTCAAATCAATACAACAGGGCTATGCCTGGGCAGGCTTGGTGGGGCTGAGGCCGGCCAGAAATGACTCAAAGATAGCCCTCAGAGGTTTTGGAGGGCTTAGGCAGGCCAACCTCTTCACCTAAGCCCTGGTCCGTGGAGGGAGGGAGGATCCTGGTGCCACAGCAGTCTCCAGGGACCGAATGAGGGCATGAATTAGGGGATGACCTGCCCCAGGCTTGCAGTATAACCACAAGAGATGTCTGTGGTTTCCAAGAAGGACTTGAGCACCTCCACCATCTGGGAGAGGGCCAGCCAATCAATGGCACTGATGCCCACCTATCTCCCCCAGGGCAGAATGGGCATGGAGGACATGATGTCCTCCATAATGGCCTTCTGTTCCACCAGGTGGGACACCATAGTGTAGGTGGAGTTCCACCTGGTGGGCAGGTCTGTCAGGAGAACGTGGGTTTCCTGGCCCAATTCCTGCTGCCTCTCACGCAGCCGGCAGGCAGCTTTCAGGTTGCAGGAGAAGTGGCCCACCAGTTGGCATTTCTCCAGGAGTGCCTGTGTCTCCCGGGTGTCTGCATCCCACTCGGGCTTGACGTGACTGCCCAGGCCAAGGGCATTATGCACCACAAGGTACAATTTGTGCACCATGCATACAATGCCCTCAAAGCCCACCGCATTCAATGCCACCAAAATGTTACACCCAGCATCTGTGACCATGTGGCCATGGGTCTCCTCCTCCTCCAGTGCCCACTCCTGAAGGGCAGACAGAAACTCATCGGTGGTGATCCACCCCATCACCTGAGCTTCCATGTGCTGCACCTGTAGCAGAATGGACCTGTGGCCTGGAGGCAGGGCAAGGGCCTCCCCCTGTGGCCCTGTCGCCGATGCCCTGCTACTACTCAGTCCTCTGGCTGCCACCAGTGGGCTGTGAGTGAGAGGTAGTCATGCTGACCTCCACTCCACAGGTCCGCTGTGAAGTGCACCTTGCACCCCTGTAGCCATGAAAAGTGGTCACAGACCACCTGCTTCACAGAGTCATAGAGCGAGGGCAGCACTCTAGAACTGAGAGTTCTCCATGAAGGGAGGTCGTACCAGGAGGTAAAAAAATGCAGCAACTGATGGAAGGCTTGGGATTCCACGATGGACAGTGGAAGTCTGAGCAGGGCGATTGTCTCAGCAATGAGACAAGTGGCCACCTGCTGGGCCTTGCCCTTCGACCGCCAGCTGAGGGTCATGGTGGACCCAACGGGTGCCACTTTGTGAAGTGTGGCCTGCTTCATGCTCCTAGCCCCAGTAACCCCTGTGGCTGCCCTTTTGAAAGGAGGCCCCTCCTCCTGCCTCCCTCCTGCCTCCCCTGGAGCTGCTGTTTTCCCTCTCCCAGACGGTGCAGACGAAGTGCCTTCCCTGGACAGGAGCCTTAGGCGGTGCCTCTCCAGCTGTTGGCGGAGGGTGGTGGAGGACAGATGCCTGGGGTCCGGCTCCCTCCGGACCACCGCCAAGGCAAGCATTGCAGCATGCCAGCTGTGGGTCATCGCTGAGCACCATGAAATGATCCCACATGGTCCCTCTGCCATGTTTGCCAAATGAAGACCCACTGCCTGCCCCTGACTGCTGGTCTGGGAAGAACTCTGTGTCCCAGAGGTGCTGCTCATCTGGGAGGAGGGAACAGATGACTCTGGGGACAGGAGTAGGGGGAACTGTGAAGCCTGCCCTGCTGTTACCGGGTCCAAATCAGACTGGGGATCTTCAGAAACCACCAATAACTCCTCAGAGTTCACTAGGAAGAGGAGCAGCAGTTCTTTAGGCACCTCTGTAAGCTGTGCTTCTGTGCCTGCCTCCAAGGCCACCGGAGGAAGAACAGTGGTGGTTGTAGTAGACGTACACATGGTGGTGATGGACATGCTGCCACTGCCTAGCCTGCGTAGCATCACAGCCTTCTTCCCCTTGGACTGGCCATGAAGAAATCCCTTCATTTTCTACTTCCTGCCTAACAAACCAACTAAACAAATAAAATAATAATAATCCAATTATTAAAACAATGGAGAGAGGGAGTGACTGTGCAAATGTTATTTTTTGAATGATGGTGTGGTGGACTAAATTTTTACTAAAATGTGACCTCCCTACCATAACAAAGCCTCCCCTCAGTATAATGTAATTATTAAAAATGACCCCCGACCCACTGTGGCTTGAATGAAAATCTAAAAAAATCCAAAAAATAAAAGCCCTGCCAGCTAAGTCTCAGTCTGAGACATGCATGTACACACAAGTCACACCAATTTCGCTTCAGGGAAAAGGAGAAAAAAGGATTGAACCAGCTACACCCCCACCCACCCACTGTGCCTGAGATACAAGCCTCCCAAGTCCAAAACTAAACTTTTGAAAACTGATTGAATAATGTAGTCCTGCCAAGCTAAACATGCACACACATACACAAGTCACACCAACAAATTGCCATCCACCCACTGTGCCTCAGATGCAAGCCTCCGCTTGCCTGAAGATGACACACATGACACAAGCCTCCAGGAAAAACAAAGTTTGAAAAAAGTCCTTCCAAGTAGCCTAAGCTACGTGAAAATCCCTTCCAAAATTCCCAGTACAGTTGATGATGATGAATGATAATTTTGAAAAAGAGAAAGATAAGTGACACATTCATTTGCTTTGCTGCCACAAAAGTGAAACCAAACCACCAGAGCAACAACAAGCCAACAGCAGCAACTGTTCTCACTCCGGAGAGAACAGAACACCGCTAAGTGACAATGTCCAAATTAGTACTCACTTTTGTTGGCAGCGGTTTAGACATTAATGACTGTGTGTTGTGTTATTTTGAGGGGACATCACATTTACACTGTTATACAAGCTGTATACTCACTGCTTTACATTGTAGCCAAGTGTCATTTCTTCAGTGTTGTCACATGAAAAGACATACTAAAATATTTATGAAATGTGAGGAGGTGTACTCATTTCTGTGATATACTGTATATACCGGTATGTATGCATTGTGCTTCTGGTGATACTCTCATTAGACAGCTTATTTTTAATTATGGCAAAATTCCTGTATATATTTATGATAATACCACAGAAATCTTCCACAAGTGACACACTGTCACCTGATCTGCAGGAGCAGGGAGACTGCAGGGGACAGAGAGAGCAAGCCACAAAAGTTAGGGTGGAGAAAGAGGCATCATTTTCTTCTGAGATGCAGACTAAATAGTAGGTACTAACTGCAAAATATTGTCATGAGTCACTAGCCCTGAGTACTGACAGGATGAAAAGGCTTCCAGCAGTTCAAGGGGCTGTTTTACTATATAAACAGCTTTCACACGGCTGAAAATCCGTGGAAGCAACAAGTCAAACCTCTGGCTTGCATCCACGCTCCTGACAACCTTGAATCGTGTTCTCTGGACTCTGACCCTGGACTATGTTGTGTGAGTTGGCTTTGGTATTTGGATATCGGCTCTGCATTCCCTGAATTCCTGACATAGAACTGGCTTATTGGATTCTGCTGTTGTAACCCCCGGGAATGTGAAAAATATCCTGGTTTAACTTTCTTTGGCTTATTTGACTTTTCATACAACATATAAGCCCACATGTACATTAACTAAAGTAAATGCCAATCCAGCATATCTCCTGCTTCCTAAACCCCTGTCCTCATTAGCTGTGGGTTTTTTTCACTGCTATGCTATTGTTGGAAATGGGACTCATAGTGGACTTTCAAATTTTACTTTTTCATATACACTGTCTGGAATAGTTATTGACCATGTTGGCTAGGAGATTGTGGGAGTTGTAATCCGAGAAAATATCTCTGGCAATCTCTGCTTCATTATATGTACAAATATATTACTTTTCTATGCACATTACAGTAATGTGAGGCCCAGTTAATTTAGTACGATGTATTTTGAGTAAGATACTCAGTGTGATATAATGGATAGTGTGACAGACTAGGACTCAGGAGGCCTGGGTTTGAATCCCTGCACAACCATGGAAAACCACTGGGATTATGGCACCAGCACAACCACTCCTTAAATATCACACCTTAAAAGCCCTATATGCATGCCTATACGTTTGTTCTGAATTGACAGCACATAGCCACAAATGTCTGAGTAAACAGTTCAAAGAGCTATATAAGAAAAATACATGCAGAATTGGTCCTTTAAAAAGACATAATTTCCTTCTCATTGTCTGAAAGCTATTTCAGAAATATGAACAACAGTAACAAAAATAACAAGTTTCAGAAGATGTAGCCATGTTAGTCTGTGCAAGCATATCAGGCAAAGTCCAGAGAATCAAAACAAAACAAAAACAATAACAAGCAGAATTATCTAATAATAAACTCATTCTCAGCCAAATTCAGATAAAATACTTATACAGCCATGCTTTTCTCTCACTGAAAACCAGTCTACCTTCATCTTTTGCCTTGACAATGTTAGTTTTTCTAGTCTGTTGTTAGCTTACTTTTTGATTGCTCTTGTTTATCCAGCACCTGAGATGCTTTTCTGCACAAGTACTTTGAAAAAAATAATCATTCTAGTTCTGATTTCTCAGCACCATGAACTTAGATGACAACGCAAAATGGCTTGAGTGGGTAGCCAAGCAGTTTGGGAGTATTGCCGGTGATGATAAAGAGATTGACTTCGAAGCGTTCAAAACTGCTCTCAAGGTGAAGGAGGCAAGTTTCATCCATGGATTAGGAAACAAGGTTATGAGGTGATGGAACATAAGCCCTGCATAAATAACCCACATACAGTACAAGCAACGATCACTAAGGAATTCCTCTTTTACCCAGGGGGAAGAATCAATGCATATAGATTTATCTATGTGCTAGTGCTACCTAGACATACAATCTGGGATGCTGAATAGGAAGTGCATATTGAAGTGATGGAGACAAAGCAGTTGTGGGATGAGAGGGAAGGTAGAAGCAGAGGTCTGAGGCAAAGAGTAGTAGAAGCAGAAGGATGGAGAAAACCTCATTTAGGGCCAAAGGAGCATGCTGGTGCCTAGAAACAAAGAATAGCAAATGTATGAATGAGTAGATGCATATGGGCAGAAGTCAGAACAGGCATTCCTATCTTGAAATGAATCACCAATCAAATCTTTGCCTGTAAGGATATGATCAGATGGTGGTATAGGATCATGTTTGATTGCACTGGAGGCAATTTCCCTTGAATTGCTCTAGCTGCCTCCAAAAATATAGCCCTGCCACTGGGCAAAAAGGTCCATATTGGGTGTGGAGCAGGGTCAGGCTGGCTTGTGATTTCCTGTGTGTCATCCAATCCCTGGAAAATAGCTCAAACCAGATATGCCACAAGCAGTCCAAAACATGAGCTACTGTATATATCTGTCTGATCACACCCCAAGTCTCCAGTTTAGCAATATTTCAAGGACTCGGTTACTTCCCCCCCCCCAGTAGATTTAAAGCAAAATGGAGTAAAAGGACAGAGTAATGGAAAGTTGAGGAACTGGTTTAAACATCTTCAGCTTACTCTGCAAACTCTTTTTCTTTTCTATAGTCTTTTTTTGCTGAGCGATTCTTTGCTTTGTTTGACTCGGATGGAAGTGGTACCATCAGTTTGGATGAGCTGCTAGAGGCCTTGAATCAGCTGATTAAAGGAAGTGAAACAGACAAGCTCCGGTTCCTCTTCCAGGTTTATGATGTGGATGGTAAAATTCCAAACAGTATACTTGCTAATTCATCTCTTATCAAAACATTAACTTAAAAGTAGAATAAGTAGACCAGTATTCAAGAAGTGTAGGTTTCAGATTTGTGCAGAATTATTAACTGTGAAACATTTACAACATCATTCAACTCAATGTCAGATTCAGGTGTTCAGAAAGATCTGCCAGAATCTAACAAAAGGAAACTAGAAACATCAAATAAAACCCAGTAGTTGAAGAAAGACCAAGTCTAAAGTTATAGAATAATGTTTCTTCCCTCAGTAAATAGGCCAAGTATACTGTATTATTTTATAGCCTTCTTTTGTGGCTATTGAAAAGAAAGAGTTAATATGAGACTCATGAAAATAATTCATTCATAGGACACTAAAAGGCTAGAAATCCATAACAAATAAATTCTGGAAAATTCTCGATAATAGCTGAAAGGGGGTGTGTGTCCATGTAGGTTCTGTTGAGTGACAATATTATTTACATACACTCCTCAGATTCCACAGGTTCACTTATTTTAAAAACAAAGTATATACTGTATTTTTCCGTGTATAAAATGACACATTTCCTTAATTAGACAAAAATTGAGGGTTGTTTTATACACAGAAGATAGCCGCTTTCCCCTGCCTTTTGTGAAGCCACGGGGCTTAGCAAAAAGGAAGGGAAAGCTCCCTTTGGATAAAGCATTAATGAAAGGGCAGCACGATCACAGCCCTTTGATCCTGAAGCCCTTTCATGGCTGCTTCACCCACTCCCCGAGCCGCGCAGCCATGAAAGGGCTGCAGAATCCTGAAGCCCTTTCATGGCTGCTTTACCCACCTTGTGGGGCTTAGGAAGTGGGTGAAGCAGCCGTGAAAGGGCTTCAGGATCAAAGGGCTGCAATCGTGCAGCCCTTTCATCACTGCTTTACACAAAAGGAGCCTTCCTTTCCTTTTTGCTAAGCCCCATGGCTTTACAAAAGGCAAGGAAAAGCAGCAGTCACTTTGACAGGTGCTTTTCCTTGCCTTTTTGCAAAACCAAAAGGCAAGGAAAAGCTTTTTTGCTAAGCCCGTGGCTTTGCAAAAGGCAAGGGAAAACGGCGGTCAAAGGGAATCCTTTGATCTCTGCTTTTCCCTTCCTTTTGCTAAGCTCCACAGCTTAGCAAAAGGAAGGGAAAAGCAGGGATCAAATTTTCTACTTTGGTGTTATAAAAGGGGGGGTCGTCTTATAAACGGAAAAATACGGTAATCCTGAACATATCAGCTATCTCAGAGGAAAATAAACAAATGGACCAAAAAATATTGCAGCTTCCTTCTATTATGTCAGCATGTGTAAGTGTGAGTTAAATGCTTTATCTTGGCATTTTAAGAATATATCTGTAATGTCTGTATCTTTTTCTTTTTAATAATCTTCTAAAGAAGGCCATACAATAACTGGCCCAAATTGACTGGGTCTGTGGAACAATTGTTTTTCTATGCCTTGAAATATGCTCTCTTCTTTTACAGTTTAGACTTTAGCAATAGAATTTTTTAGCAGCTGTTCCAAAATCTAACAGCATATAGAGCTAGTAGGCTTTTAAACAACTTGAATGGGCAGACAGCTTAGGCAAACATGTGAATTAACTAATTTATTTAAGATATTTATTTACTTTCTTTGAAAGGAGTATTAAAATGGCTCGCACAAGAAATTAAGGCAATAATCTAAACATTTTTAACACTCTAGTTCTACTGCAATTCTGTTAGCACTACTCTGGTCTTACAGGCACTTGATTCCTGTTCAGGTGAGGTGTTAAATTTGGCCTGTTGCAGTCAGTTTATTTGGTGTCAACTGTAAGTTCTTTTTTGTTGTAGGCAGTGGGTCTATTAAACCGGACGAACTGCGCACTGTCTTAAAATCATGTCTGAAAGAGAGTTCAATATCTTTGCCAGAGCAGAAGTTGGATGACCTCACAACAGCTCTCTTTGAGTCTGCAGATTCTGACAACAATGGATACATAACCTTTGAGGAGCTGAGGAAAGAACTGGAACATTTTCCAGAAGTCATGCAGAATATAACCATAAGGTATTTTTTCTCTTTCCATACTCCATACTCTTGTCTTCAAAGTCTGTTATTCCATATGAACAGGGAGAAGAGGATATTGTCAACCAAGTTCTAACGTTTGAGCTTCTTTTATATAAAATTTTTATATTAAAAAAAATCTAAACTATAATATGCACGCTAACATTTTTCTAAACATTGGAGGGTTCTACAGACACCAATCCAAGCACATGGTCAAGACAGCACAGTAAGTACAGTACAAACAATTCAAGGCATCTGCATTGTCTTGCATACACATTGGGTATTTGCATATCCCAAGAAGATAGTATAAACTGTGTACCTTTACTCAAATACACATGGACATACCAGCAGAAAGCTACCATATGACAGGATCAGCTGAATGAAAGAGCAGTAAGATGTCACTTTTAAGCAGAGGTCTTATCGTGCACACTGCTGTACATATAAAAATAAATGTGCAAGGGCACGTCACCAAACATGAGAAAACAACCACAGATGTACAAAGATTGTGTTATATCTGACACAAACGACAGGTTAGGTATTTGAAATCATGAATAGGGCAAAATGCATAAATTATCTAAAATTTTATTTTTACATTTACAACAGATTGATGGTATTTTTGTTGTAGTGTTTCATTGATATTGTTCCCTGACCATATGCTCTTGTTTAAAGCAGAGCAGCTTCGTTCAAATCCAGTACTAGAAACAGGATCCTCTTCCCTCTTTCTCAGTTTATCTTATTTGTCATGAATTAGCATGGGATTTTCTGAGATTAGTGTCCACAAACTGCACTTTTAAAAGTGACTTCACTGGAAATCTCTCTTCCATTAAGAAAACATTTAAATCCTTTTTTGTCAAAATGTTTTTAATAAAACCTGCCCCTAACTTCTCTTCTGGATAGAGCAGCTAGATGCTCTCACAGTACCCTCTGCCTGTCTTTGACAGCAGCCCCTTTCCTTCCTCAATTAACAGACATCTAGCAGAAATGTGCTTCCCAGTTGCTTGCCAGTACTCTTTCTTCATGACACCACAGACTGTCTCAAGACATTTTCATCAGAAGAAACGAGCGGGTGCTGATAAGTATTGAACCTTTCCCAGAAAAAATTGAGCTAGGAAGCTGTAACTGCCACAGTATTCTTCATATTCCCCCAGGAAGTCAATGCACTTGTGACATCTGTCCTGCAGATTCTTAAGTCCCTGCAAATAAAATTCTTCCGACTTCTGGTGTAACCACTCATTTGCAGCATTAGTTGCCTCCAGAACACTCCCAAATCGTTGTCTTTTTAGGTGTTTTTTGAGTTTGGGGAACAGATAATAGAAGGAGCCAGGTCGGGAGAATAGGATGAATGGGGCATCACTTGAAAGCCTAAGGATGTCAAGTTTTGCCATTGTTTCACCTGCATGACAAGGCATTGTCATGCAACAGGATGACACCTTTGGAGAGCTTTCCTTAACATTTTTCCTTGATGTTTTGTCTCAACTTTGTCAATAAACAACTGAAAACATGGATGTTCAGGCAGGCCTTCCCCCTTTCTACCTAATACCTTCTTTTTTGTTATAATATATCCCGTTTCTCGCCATCTTTGGGAAAAAATTTTATTCTATCTTTTAATTTATGTAAATTATTATTTGTGATGTGGTTTGTTGTATGTTTATTTTTTTTAAGTGCATGTTGTAAGCCGCCTAGAGTGGTCACAATTGACTAGATAGGCGGGGTATAAATGAAATTAAATAAATAAATAAATAAATAAATAAATAAATAAATAAATAAATAAATAAATAAATAAATAAATAAATAAAGCACAGTAATATTTTGCATTGATGGTTGAACCCTGTTGGAGGTAGTCCACCAGCAGAACTCACTTCTTATCCCAAAAACCTGTTGCCATTTGCTTCTGCACTGACCTTTGCACTTGGAACTTCTGTGGCCTGGGGGAACCACTGTGCCTACATTCCTTACAGTTCCTTTGTCTCAGGATCATAACAGTAGATCCATGTCTCATCACCAGTTACCAGTTTGCCCAGGAAACCTGACTCATTTCTTGCAAAATGTTCCAAAACAGCCACCAATGATTCCACAAGTTTCCTCTTTTGTTCAGTTGTCAAAAGTTTGGGGATCCACTTTGTTGCCAGCTTTCTCATTTCCAAGTCGTTGTGGATAATGGCACCAACTTTCTCACAGGATATTGCCAGATATATAGCAATATTTGTGGCTGATATTCGGCCATCCCCCATGATCATGTCATGGATGGCTTTTACATTTGCAGGCACAGAGACAGAAACAGGCCTTCCACTGGGTTTCTCACTTTTAACACCGAAATGGTCAGTTTTAAAATGGACAACCCAATGTTTAACTTTTGCATATGAAGGGCCACTGTTGCCCATAGTTTGTGACATTTCATCATGGATCTACTTTGCACCTTCCCCTTGGAGAAAAAGGAACTTGATTATGGTCCTATGCTCTTCCACATAGAACTTTTCTGGAGGAGCTGCCACGTTCAATTTGGAGCTGAAAATGAAAGAGAAGTTAAAATCATAGGTAGTTGATTTTTGTGCCATTGAATACAGATAAATTGGCCAATACACCCTGCAATTTATAGCTTCCTAGCTGAATTTTTTTCTGGGAAAGGCTCAGTACTTATTAGCACCCCCTCGTAAATGATAAGATTGTGCCCTCCATTTCACTTTCAAAAGCTGATGAGAACAGGAAAGGAAAAAAAGGAATTCCAAGTGAGGCAGAAGTGGAGATGCATTGTGTGCTGCTAAAAAAGATGAGACAGAATGATAAAATGCATAAAGAGAAAAAAAACAGGTAGGTTTCCCACTCTGATTCCACAATCCCTAAATGCACTCACACGTCAGTAGATAACAAAATCATTGTTATTGTTTATAAAGCTTCAATGTGTGAGGGGACAGACGGGGCTCCTGGGGGGTGTAGTCCCATGAGCTGCTGTGTTTACTGCCAGATAGAGAAAGACACTGGCATCACAGCCCGTTCTGAACCAAAGCTGCCGCTATTCCTCTATTCTAGATTCAGTTAATTTAATTTAATCCCAGGTTTTTAAAAATTGGTATAAAACTCTTCTTGCACTCTGTATGTGCTCTATGGAAAAATCGCCAAGTGCTTGTAGTGTGGTAAAGTGGCCTGGCTTCTGGATTATTTTATCCAGGAATGTTCTGCAAAGAATAGTGACCCAGGAGTCTATTCTAAAAGATAACTTTCTTAAAAGAAAAAGAAAAGATAAAAAGAAAAATATGGCTAAGCTTTTAGGTTGCATGCAAGCTACAAAAAGTTAAAGGCATAGATGATAAGCCTAAATAGCTGGTATTTTGAACTAAGGGCATGATCACACAAGGCAAATATTCCCTAGTTTTACCCCTGTTAGATCATTGTAGAAATTTCCAATCACACAACACACGGCCATTATCGTATCATTTACCCAGCTGGTGTAAATGCTGTTTATTTCTCCATCATTGGGAGGCTTCTGTTATATTTTTTTTCCGGTGGCATTTTGATATATTCCTTAGCGGTATGACGTGTGTGCACAATTCTATTATTTTCTGAAGGTAGGACACCGGGGAAGGTGGCTGCACTTACTGCTGCACGTCTGCCCTGCCATAATTTTTTAAAATTTCACAGCTGGGATGTTGATATGTAGGTAAACGTATATCAACAGCCAGGTATGGCAGGCCATTGGTAGGTCAGCATGACTCTACCTACTGTTTTGCAAGTGACACTGCTGGATGGGGGCACTGGGTCCATTGAGTACAGCGCAGTTCTTCTAGAGGTGGCAACACAATGGAGGAAAGTTTACCAAACAGGAACCCCTGCCTGATACATTTAATTTAAAGTAAGAGCCTGCAGTGCTCCAGAAAACAAGAGAAAAAATAAATGGGTACCACGGTGGCCATAGTGATTCAAGTATGAGAAAGTAATGTTAAAACACATTGAGAAGTTTGTCCAGGTATATATACCATGTGACTGTGATTCAGTACAACAAAGGTATGGAAAGTATCTTTCGAAAAGGGAAATATTCCTTGCTGTGACTAACGGCTGTGATTCTCTCGTGGACTCTAGTCTTTACTTGAAATCAGGAGACCTCTTATTGCATGTTAGGAGAAGCTACCCTCAAGCCAGAAACAGGGCCCTCTGCCTCTCCGCTACTTCACTCTTCCCTTGTCTTGTGTTCTTCTCTTAAAGGCTTATCCTCCTCATAACCTTGGGAACCTGGTGAGACACAACTTCAGAGAGGGCATTTGAAGTATGGTTATATTAGATGCCCGGGGGGCGGGGGGAAGGGGAGAGTTAATCTGACCAAATGCTGCAAAAGGGTTTCATGTTTTATACTTCAGAGAAATTGAGCATCTGGTGCTGTGACTCCATGTCTTGGCAAATGGTGAGCTCTGCCTAAAAGGAGCTCACAAATCGATCCTGGTTTCCGATAAGAATTTCACACAATTTTATGGCACAGACATTCCAGCACACACACACCAGAGTGCATTTCTCTACACACTGGTTGTAACTACTACTGCTTGTTGTGCTGAGGGCAAGGAGTCTGGGTCAGCAAAAGAAGGAAAGAACTAAATCTCTTGTTCCCACATGCTGTGGTCTATGAGTAGATTCCCACCCCCTTTTGCATGCTTTAAATTAAAAAACAAAACACTGATGTCAAGCAATTAAATACTGTATATCAAACTATGCCTTTCAGACAAAGGTGGATAACCACATTCATCCAGATCTTGTTAGACTCCCTCTTGTCATCTTTCATAATTAGATACAATGACTTGGACTGATGAGAGTTTGCACTCCAACAATATCTGAAGGGACATAATTACCTACACCTATTTAAAGGAATTATTGCTGCACAACATTAGGCATTGTGCAGCAGAACAAATCAGCATTCAGTAAGGCAAGTCAAAACATGGGAGCATCCCGACCAAAAGCTGTAACTTTGACTTCAGATAAGCACCAAATTTGGCACAGATATAGCAGGTAGTCTGCTGTTG